GATAGCGGTTGAGGACGATTCCCAGAATATTTACCCCAGGATGAGCACGACTGATACCAGCGATACTACCAAAGTACCCGAAGTGTCGAATCAAACAACGGAGCCGAGAAATTTGAAAGAGTCCAAGAAATCCGTGTCCATCGCTCCCCTGAAGATAACACGTGACCAGGTGAGCAAGAATGTCTCCATCTATTTTCTTTTTGACAACCTTCATTCGTTTGAGCGGCACATATCTTCTATTTCCCTAACGTATTTACGGCCGTTCAGCGGAGAAATATCGATGTTGATGGTGGGCAAACCAGTTTTTTGTTCACCAAACATTCATTTCCACGTCCAGTGGATTGTTACCTAGTCAGACATTCACCGATACCTTACAATTCCTTATTTAGTAAATATGTAATTAGAAGGTCACTACTTACTAGTAATGAGTTCATTGTGAAATATCGTCACAGTTACGACAGTTGCGAACCAAACATCAATGATCAGCATCATTGTCGTCATGGTCTGTTTACACAGCGCTATGCGGCACATCCATCCTAGTTGACCCTTCATTACACCTGATTCTATTCTCATTGAATATTTTGTTCAGAAATAGTAACAGTAACATCGCTTTTTTTGCTACTCTTTCTTGAGCTTTGTTCCAGAAACGTACAGGACGCACATAGGAATGTAAATTCGAGTACACCAGAGTTTTCATTTGACTGAACCCTTGCCGCATCATAAGAGTTGCCGTATCGATTATCGAGTATACTCAGCCTCTGAACTGTTTTTCTTACCCAAAACTACACTTGAATCCTAAAGATGGGGAGGCGTGGCTGCGTTTCAACGTGGCGGTTACTAATTGTAAGCTTTTGGAGAAATATTTCCATTTTGACACAATTGTGGTCGTGTCTCTCTCCAGTGCAGAACCTCACGAGTGACCCGTTCTGTGTACCATGCTCAAATGCCACGCCTACTCCATCTCAGGGATACAGAGTATAGAAACCCACAAATGTGACTCGAACATTTTGCAGGCTAGGGTTGTCGCACTTTCAAGTTTTGCAAATACTATCAGAAATTGAGTCCCAGGTCCGCTGGGCCATTTGCTTGGACTCATTGTTTTCGCTTCTGTGATTCCATTGCGCATCGTTACGCATCCGCTCCTCTACAGTCAGGGTACAGCATCGTGATGTCTGAAATGGCTGTGTCAGTACGGCCCTCCTCTGGAAAAGGATCCTGGTATGATACCCCTCCCGTTCCGACTCTAATTGTTTGCTGTGACAAAAACGATTAGATATATAATGACTCGCAAGCTCTTGCGGCCGGGTTATGCTTAAATGGCGAATTAGCCGTGGAGCAGATCTGTTGGCCGGCTGGAAATCGCGGGGCTTTTTCTGGAGATGAGAGGTTTTTTAGGTTTGGGGCTTCTGAGAAACACAAGGCGGCACGTTGAAATGTGCTATGCTGCGTCTTCTACCTACTCGCAACTTGAATTTTTCCCCGTCTGTGAAACATGTCGGATGGGTTACGGACGCGTTAGTGGTAAATCAGGAGCGGGTTTGTATGCGGGCTCAGACGAGAATAACTTCTCTCGAACCCAATCTTTTGTAAAACTAGAAAAGCCATCAGAACGCCCAATATTTCCTCTTTCCAAAAACTCCACAGTTCTCATGAAAACCCGCTAGTTTGGAAGATATTTTAGATTGGTCTTTCTTGGGCGACATTCTAGGCACTCGAAAGCTCGACTCCTTCTGTACCATTGTAAAGATACTCATTCGCGAATTTCAATAAGCCTTCAAAACACATATTCCCGTTAAACTGAGACAAAGCGTAAGTCGGTTATCATTGATCGATTCGGTCCGAGTGTGCGCCGTGCATTACCGCTTCTACGCAGAGGTGGTAGAAAAATGTATCATCTGATTTCAGGTGATTTTTGTCTATGCAAGCAGATGCTTGAGTGTAACTCCTGATTTTGGGTGGTTGTTGTTCATACAGGCAGATACTTGCTTAGAGTTTAGAAAGCATCTGTTTAAGATGTATCATTTAGTTATCTACGTACTTGCGAGTTCATGCTAAATATTGATATTGCTAATCAACTGTTTTAATATTTTGTAGTCTTCCTTACATCCGGGGCCTCTGCAGCTTTCCTTCCGCTCATGAAACTTAGCGATGACACTTTTGAGCTGTGGTGCTCACGACCTTACGACCAACCCCTCCCCTCCCCGGCGGCCAAGTAGGACCCCCACGATGGGTTTCGCACAACGATGCTGCACCCTGTTTACGCCTCTTTGTGAGGCGCACCCCAGTACGAGGAACGTGAGCAAGGAGAGAACTTCGCTGGCTTCTTAAATTTCTTTGAGAAGCACAGCAAAAAAATGAGTGAATGTATCATTTTTGCAGTGAAAATATCCAAGTCTTTGTTCAGGTTATTCCTTCTTTAACATTGCATAGAATTGGGCAGTACTACGATAAAAGATCACTCTTTTTGGATGGTAATCATTATCATAATATTGGGCTGTCCCAGAGCACAAATAGACTCCCAACTGTTTGCGCCACAGAAGCTCAAAAGTCTCATTTGACTCGTTTTCCTAGTCAAATTCAAAACTCAGAAATCCCTGGTGTATTCGAAAACGTACCGTGGACTTTTTAGTTCTTTTTGAGACTTTTAAGCTCTTGCGCAATAATTATTTTTGGATCCTATTTGCTTATTTACACTTTTACTAATCAGTATTGTGAGTCATTATTAACAGCAAATAATTATTGGACGGGAGAATCAACGTGAGATTTATTGTTGACAACGCCCATGGTCCAAACCCAGTGACCTACCTATCAATTGGAATTTTTGGGATAATCAATACACTCATCTCTTGGATATTTCTTCTTTCGCTGCTCAGTATTTTTGTTTAGTAAGGCGAAACTCCAATATTACTATTTATTAAGTCAAAAACTAAAAACGCTGCACTCACTCCTGTGTACTACCTCGGCATCTATTGTAATTTCTTTAGCATTTCTACTGCAACCATGCTCTCAGCCCTGTTCGCCTTATATGTTACACATTTGACTTATGTTGTGTTCCTTGTGTAGTCTCTTTATGATATTTTATTTGTAAATACTTGATTTCTACTTCTACTTTGTCGCAGTTGCTACTTTATTTCTGCTACCTCAAAATCTTCTATATTGCTGTCATCATATTTCTTCAATAAGTTATCATATCATACATGTATTGTTATTGCTTCGTTAGTTTTCATGCTCCATGGAATACCATTTTATCAGCTGGCCGGAACTGCAGTTTCCAGTTTACTTCCAATTTTTCTATACTACTTATCGCATCTGAGGCTCCTTACCGATCAATTCCGTCCCCAAAAGTTTGACGACTGTGCTGTGTAGAGTGGGGCACTTATTGCAAAATACGACCCCTCCTCTCCCAAAGTTCCTCCTCTGGTGGAAGCGAGAGTGAATAGCCCGTGTGAAACAGGAGAAAAGCACTGTGAAACAGGAAGTCAAAAAACTTTCTCAGGCACATACGACCTCGCGCTGGAGGTATTTCCTGGCGTACGACGTTACCTGGTGTCCAGTCGAGTATTAGTTGTCAAGAAGCTGTGTCATACTTACAATATATGTTGTTATACTTTGTTAGTTAGTTGCTCATCGCAGTGCGTGAATGCATTAGAGGGCGTCCGCAATTGTCCATGTTCCATGGATCAAAATGGTATAATGACTCACCTCGGATGGAGTGATGAGCCCGGAATGTTCTCTGAAAGCCGCAATTCTTGCATTTCAAGTGGGAAACCTAGATGTTTCGTTACATTAACTGCTGCCCAAGGCCTGGGCTCACGCGCTGAAACTATCCACAAGAATGGTAATATCATGGGCACTAGTCTTCTCATCAGGGCTGGACCGCAATTCGCGCTTTACCTTTAACGGGCGAATTTTCTAAGAGTTACACCCTTGGGACAGCCTGTATCTCCTCAGAATGGAAAAGCTTGTAATGGGTGAGAAAGCTTCAAATAACTACCATTTTTCTACGATGTGATCTTGTACGCCCTGTCCTGTCTCCTCCCCGTGCAGAAACTAACTCTTGCTTATTGAACAGTTTTCCAGTCTACTTTACTTCAACCTCTTTCATTCAATGACCCAACCAGTCATAAGTTCAAAGACGATTTCGAGTTATCACGAAGTGCAAGTGCACATTAAGAACAGATTTTTCCACTCATAGCATTATCGGTTCTTGTTTAGCATCGTGCTTTGCTACCTTATCGTGTCTAGTTGTTACTTATTAAACTACTTCCACAAAAAAGTCTTGCTGACCCGGACAAAAGCACCCCTTGTAGTCCATGAGGGGAACATCATCCGTTCTCTGAATCGCAATGGAGAAGTTTGCCTCTCAAATGAATTTTTTAGATCGCTGATTTTCCCCCACTTCGGCTCGCTAAACAACAATCCCTCGTAGTTCATAAAGGGAACATTCTCCCCCCCCTCCCCTTCCTCCTCATGACCCTGTAAATTCTCTGCGAAAATTTTGTTAAATTTAAAAGGTGGGGAACATTGGTTAGGTGGTAGGCATGCTGGGAGTGGGGCGGGTAAGTTGGGGGCAGGGGGGGGGAGGGTTGCTTAGCAAAAATTTTCCACACCACCATGTGCCCTGCTTTTATGTCTGCTTGACAATGCCAAATATTTGCACATCTCTGACTTCAGTACTGGAATGGAATCGCAAACAATGTGATCACATGCATCAGCGAAAAATCGGTGGTTATTTTGCCCAGGAAGGTCCCTTTTAACCACATCAGTTATCGAGTTAGTTGGTCGTTAAGCACATGGTGACCATGAGATTAGCCCACCTAAACACCCAAACAAACTTGTGAGATGAGGTAATTGGGGCTATTGAAAAAATGTGTTTTTTCACTTGAACAATGCCCTTGTTGCCGTGGTGATTGAGCAAAGCCAGAACTCCAGAATCGATTTGTTTTTTTGTTTTGCGGCAGTTATTACTTGTACTGGTGTACTTGAACGTAATTTGCGCTATGTCGTCTCCCGAAGTTGTTGAAAACGACGTGATGAGTTGTTTTCAAGATAATCCCTTTCAAGGCCACCATTTCGAACCGGTGCTATATACTGTAAGTCCATGACATCCCTAACGATCGACGAGTCAAGTGGCTACTACGACGGATCTCACCACAATCAGCGTGTCCTGACATATTCTCTCTTCTTTTGTTACCTATTTGAGTCTTCATCGAGCTAATAATACCCACTTGCAGTTGCGAGGATCAAGTGTGCAGTCAGAGGATCGATCACCTCCAGCATATGATTCAGACTTAGGATTCACTGAAAGGACACCATTGTTAGCTCCTTGCAGGTAATACCTCCTTCGCATGGCCATCAAGTCGTCCTACCTTTGATTCTTCTGCCTTTCCCTTTTTTATTTTATTTTGAAACTTGCTGAATTTCAATGTCAATAAAATGCGAGTGTACAGTTCTAGGTCATTGCCTTCAGTTGTTGGTTATGACAGTGCTCGTTCGGTGTATGATTATCCTGGACCATCAACGGCCCGCTCTGAGGTAAGTAGGTTCGGGTTGCGACGTATGGTTAACTAGCAGATGGGTTAGTATTCGAGAAACTCGTGGCGTCCATGCAGCGAAATTTGAGGAGGCATTGCATCAACTACGGTAGACCAGCTTCTGCTTGTTGAATGTCTCCACCTATGTTTGACAGCGCGGAAACGCTGATGTCTATGAGGGTGCCCTTTCACTATAGGCTGCGCTGTGAATGTCCGCGGTTATTTGATTGGCAAGTACAAAGTGGTCCGGTTCACAGTCACAGAGAGCTCAAAACTTTTTTTGTCTCAAAATTGACCGGAACGCTGAGACCGTCATCTGCCCTAGTGGTCTGGAATATTACGGCGAGGCAATCCGGTTATCAGCAGGGTACAGCGTCGCTGGGAAGATCCCGTCAGAGGCTGTACTTGGTTGCAGGGAAGGGAGTCATACTTCTCTTCAAGGAATATTTCTCTTTTGTTCTAGCCCTAGAAAACATTCCAAGTCGTTGGATTTTGGTAATTTTTCCTCTTTCACGGATGCCATGATCGGAAGGCAGGTAGACGACGGGGTTGAACCAGACGAGGAAATTGGGGTGGAAGGGGGGAGGAATGGAAATGAATGTGTACTGACACCTCCATTTCACTCCTCACGACGGTGTACTTGGTTGACTGCATGGCCCATCCTGCGGTGTTGGAAAAATTTCGTAAAATAGGACCCACTCTAATTTCCTCCTCTAGCAAGACTCCCCTTCCCTTTGTCATCCCAACAGTATCATTCCTTCTGGAAGTGAGGAAAGTACGTCCCAATCGAAGATCTGCCCAATCAGTAGAGAGATGTCGTGGCTAAGAAGGGTCACTATCGTGATTACTGATTTTTCGCTTTTATTGTTATTAATATATATTAATATAGTTTGAATAAAATGACCGAATTTTGTCAAATCTTCCAGGATATCCTAATACCTCTATCTCCCTAACTGGATCCCCTGAATTCTCTTCTTCTCCCCAGAAAAGCTGCGTCGGGCGGTGGAAGGGGGTGTAGGATCAGTGAAACGGGAAAGACCAAGAAAAGTTAGCAACGGAAGCAGGTCTCTTGGTTCGAAAATGCCCGTTGATAATTTCAATTGCACTGATTGTTCGAATTTCTCTTAAAGGGTTTTTATAGGATGGACGAACTGAGACGAGGCGTAGGAAGAAACGAATGCGGAAGTTGCATCGAATTCAAGCTCATAAAATGAGGTAAATTTTGTTTACCTTGGCGCATACAGTAATTTTCCCGCGAGGGTTTCATATACGGAAATAATCGAGTCAGTTCGGGACTGTTATGTCTTTTTGTGTGAATGCTGTCAGTCAGTTTAGACCGTATTTTTTCGGATTACCTTTAATTTGAGGCGGAGGTGGTGTAGTGACAAGTGGCGCGCTTAGCACTCGCGCGGTCCTGGGTTCGAATCCCAACTCGACTCCCACCAGGACAACAGAGCCTTCTACTCTCCAGGGGTAAGTTGGTACTAGATTCGTCTGGGAGGATAAGAACACTGACTCTACATAGGCTGGCCACTGCAAGTCATTGTGTAGGCCATTTCGCATTCAGTAAGCCACTACGATTCAGGATGAAAGTAGAATGCCTGCCGCATCCCACAAAGGGGTTGATTAACAACGAAGACTTCATCCTTTATCCTTTTTTTTCTTTTGTATGAGAATTTGTTCCTGAATCCACCGTAAGTCTTGTTTTCTGACTGAATGTCGAGTCCCAGCTTCTAATGGCTCCGAGTTCCTGGAGAAGAAAGCTGTAAATCTGGCTTACATTTTTGTTTATACCTATTATGTCGTAGTTTTAGTATCCGGACAATTCAGTTATTACCTTGAATTCCAAATTAACTTTTTGCTTCTCTCAATGCTAAATTCTTTATCTCTGCAGCAAGCCTCATCCCTACGTAAGTAAACAAATATATAAATGAATGACTTAATCATCAATTAAGGATAAAATAGGATAAAGTCCTCCCCCCCCCAGATCAATTCATTTTGTGGAATGCGGCACGCATGCTATTTCTATTGAGAATCGGCCCATTGAATGCGAAGTGGCCTATACAATGACTTGGGAGGGGGGGGTGGGCAGCCGATGTAAAGGTCAGTGATCTTATCCTCCCAGACGAAACAGGTACCAATTTACCATACCTGGGGTGAAAGGCTTGGTTGGCCTGGGCAGGAGTCGACACGGGATTCGAACCCGGGACCACGCGAGTGGTAAGGGCATCACTTCATTAATTGAGGCGGCGATGCCACTTCCGCCTTAAAATAAATTAGTAAGTAGTCAATAAATGAATTACCAGAACATCACAAACTCAGGGCAAAGGGGAAGCGATAGAATTTTGGTCAGCATCTACTTACCTCTCACTTACCCAAGTCGAAATAGATGAGCTGCGTCGAGCTCTCGCGAGTGGAAATATGTGCAGACAATTAGCGTGTGTTTTTGCGTTTTCTGTTTTTTGAGAGCAAACAGCTGTTGAGACGTGAGTCAAGCTCATAGTCGAAATTCGGTGACCATCACATCAACACTCATCGTCATCTTATCGATTGAAGCAGCTGGGCCGCCATCTCATCGACTACTTGCATTGATTTATTGTTATGAATTTGTTATAGCTTTTGAAATATGAATTACCATAGGTGCTGTTAAGGCTACAGGACGCTCCTAGCATTAAGGATCCCTTGCGGTCACTGAAGGCTGGACTGTAACGTATTTGACCACTGAAGGGGGGTCGTATTTTGTAAAAACTGTGCTTTGAAGGTGCTCAAAGAAGGGAGTTCAGCTCAGAGCACATCGCCGTTGGGGAATCCCCAAGAGGGGGCGTCGTATTTGTTCGCTGAGAGAGAGGGGGGGGGTATATTAAGTCTGGGAAAAAGTTTTCCTAATAGTTGATTTTTCTTCTTGTTTTAGGGACGCCATAAAAGGGGGTGGTCGTATTTGTTCGTTGTTGGGGAGGGGTTGTGTTTGGCTTCTGGCTTTTTAAACCTTTGAGAGAGTTTGTTGATTTTCTGTGGGTTTTCCTGTTTCATATGTACTACCTCCCCCCCCATCCCGCTCAACAGCTCCATGAGGAAGACTACAGAGGGGGGGGGGTCGTACCAACCCACTAAAAACGGGGGAGTCGTATGGACTTGACCACCAGCAGGAGGAGCGTGGTTGGTCGACCGAGAGAGTGGGGGGGGGGTAGTCTGCCCTGGTTCTACTGTTCCAAGCCCGCTATATACCCGCCTGACCGGACGACAGGTTTCTGAGGAAGATCTGGGAAATTCTAGAAAGAAAAACTCCGGAAAAGTGTAGAGTGCTAGGAAGTTGGGAGACTTTAGGAACATGGTAGGAAGGATGAGGATGGGGAAGGGTATTATTCCGCGAAATTTTTCTCCAATGGCAGGACGTGCCCTGTGAGGCTAATACTATGGCATTTAATGGGGCTGTTTAACCCGCAAAGTGACGTCATTGTTAATCGCTCATTATTTAGCGCTTATTCATCGGTTGACCTGTGTCCATTCGTATGAATATCGTATTAGTCATTCACTATGAATAAAAACAAACAAGTGAGTAAAAGAATCTGGCGATAGATCTGGCACGGGTTTGTGGCTGTAATGAAGGTGGTGCTAGTGGCTAGTGCCTGAACGATGATGATGTCTCATGGGGGTTTGTGGAATCGATAGCCGATGATAGTTTCCAGCCCTGACAAACTGGTCGATTTGCGACGCAATTTGCTATTGCTTCAATCATTTAGACATGTAATGTGTGTTTATTACCTGTAATCAATAAGAAAATGTCATTAGTTAGCTGGCTTGGCTGTGAGAGGCCACGCCAATCATCTCCATTTCTGCATCCTTTTTTGGTATGGCTGCTGATAATAGCTAGATGAATGCTATCTGTGCAGGTAATTAGCAGGTGGTCGAAAATTCCTGTTCAGGGAACATAGCCTAACTCCAGGCTACGTTTACAACTCAATTGTTTTGCTATCTTACCGTCTAAATCTGAAAACATCTTTGTTTACTCGAGCGATGATGGTTTGAAGAAGGCCGCCTGACAGCCGTTTAATCACCTGTTTTCTCATCTCTTTGGATCGATTCGCATCTAATACACGTCCAAAGAAATTTTCTTTTGCTAATACTATGCAGCTCTTGCTCTTTCTGGGAAGCGATGGCATTTATGTTGAGCCGCAAGCGATTAACGTCCGTGTCGTTGGTGGGGATTTTGTGATTTGCCGCCCGCTGCACAAACCTCTCAGAAACTTCCGCTTTCCAGCGCTTCGCACGTTCCCAGCATATGTGTATATTGTGCGGCTGTTTTACTAGTTCCTTTTACTCTTGTATTCCTGGACTAGCGCCTACAAAGAAGTTTTATTCAGTACTGATTACTACTTACTAAACTTTGTTTTCTATTCAAAATCCGTAGCAGTTGCCTTGGCAACGTATCCATCGTTGCCTATTCTCGGCGTTTTGACGCATTTGTTTCAATTCAAATATCTCCATATATGAATATCACGTGGAAGCGCTGAAAAAATCCACTGTTGGCCATCTATGAAATCGTTTTTTTGTGGTTCCCCTTGAAATAAATGAAATAAATTATTTTTCAAATTGAAGGTTGACCACGACTTTATACTTTACTTAGTTTCAATAAGTAGCTTTCGTTTTGACATGGTTATTCCTACAAACGTTAGAGAAAACGTTGTGACTATGATAAATACCATTCTGAATACAAGAGCTCTGATTTTTGGGAAGAAATGAGGGTTTTTTCGTAGCAGGGGACTGGATCGAACGAAAAACCTTTTTTATGCATACATATAGTCCTCATCATTGCGAACCGGTGGGGCGTGGCAGTGCGGCTGCGTTTGGTGCGGTTTGGCAAAGACGTTCTGCACCAGTTTTTGAAGCGAGCAAGTGCATTACTGTATAATATCCTTCGTATTACTCGTTTTCTACCACTTTTTGTCGCATACGCGCTTCAAAGAAAAGGCTGACAAGTGCTTCAACAGTGTGCGCACTCCTTCTGGTTGACACCCCCCACCGGTCCGCAATGGTGAGCACTATATAGAGGGTAACTAGCCCTGATGACTCTTATGGGTGCCAAAAAATAGCCAAAACATTTGATAATGCTGGCAAAAATACTTGTTAGTACGCTTTCTATGCTTACAACACTCTTCCCATTACTCGCATTGAAATACATAAAAGGTATGGAAGCCTCTCGGATGAAGCCGTATTTGGAACAGCTTTCTGAAAAAGTAGTAATAGTTTTGTAATACTGATAGTTTAAAACTGCACACTATTTCGATTCAACTTGGTTGTTAGATGCTGATTTTATTTACCATTGTTATTGTAAATATTGAAGTATATTATTTATATTATATTATAGTACTCGGAGGCTTTTTTGAAAGAGGAATTCTAATAATGGATGTTTTTCCTCACTGATGATTCGAAATCGATTACGGACGCAGGTTGACTTTGACTTGCAATTGGGACCTTTTGAGTCGTGAATATCTTCTAGACTGAATATCTTCCAGACTGCTACTGTAAGCTAAAAGTAGGGTCACGATGGGACTACTCCAACACCTGGGAAAAGTATTAAGTCGAAGACATCTAGACTCTGAGAGACTGCGAAGACTTCTATTTTTTTGGATGTGCGTTCTGTTTTCCTCGTCAGGGCGTCAGGGTCGTGCTTTGAGGATCCCATCGTGGGAGGTCGTGTTGCTTTTGGAAAAAACATTTTCATTTGTTGACTTTTCTCGGTTGTTCCCGTTTCGAGTGGACTGTATAGCGCCCCTCCCCCTTCCACCCCCCTCGCCTCACCGGAAAACATGGTTTTAGGGGAAGGGTGAAGGAATTCCATTGAAAGAAATCCTGGAAGACAGGAAGGAAGTCGGGGAATTAAGTATAATGCTAGGCAGCATGGGGGACAGGGAAGTGGAAGCCCCACCAAAAAAGGAAATTTTGAGGAGGGGATCGCATTTTGCGAAATGTTCCCCGAACGTCAGACGTGGCCTGGCTATCGTATGTGAAACTGCTTTTGCCGTAACATCTGTGCGTCGGCGTACACATCGCTATCGCTGACGCATGTGAAGTGAAAGGGCTCTTTAAATCATTCACGTACAGGGATGCTTACCCTGCTCCGACCAACTCGTTCACACTTTACTAGTTGAATGCGTCGGTCATCCGATAGAGTAATATGCTTAGAGAACATCAATGCCGCGACGAGAATTCCACGATGTT